CGAAAGTAAACATTAATTATAAATTCTTTTAGGTTTTGCTCAAATCCAGTTAATGTTTACGAATCTTAGGAAATAGTTTGAATTTCGTTTCGTACATCTACTTAGTATGGGAAGTAATGAAGTTTCAAAATATAAATTTTCTTGATATTTAATGGTTTAATAAATGGGATAGGGTAAAGTTTTGCTGATAGATGGGATAAAATAAAAATTGCTTGGGTAATTTAAGTTATAGCTAGGGTTAGCTTTGTTTTTTTGTTTTTGCCGACTGATGTCGATGTAAAGTAAAGTAAAGTTAAGGTTAGGAGGGAGATGTGCGAGGGATTTTGTTAAGGTTTTGCTCCCGTAAAGTCTTTGCAATAAAACTTTGCAAACAGTTAGGGTTCTTTTCCCGTAAAGTTTTTTTTTGCAAGTTTTGCAAACTTATTGTGAGGGCTAGTCTGTAGTAAAGGCCACCTCCCAGTTGTATTTATGTCCTTAAGCAGGTAGGGATTTTAGTTAGGACCGTCGAACCCTCTCGATGTAGTAGGTAGGAAAAAAAAATTTTGTTCGGTCATCTGGTATAACAAAACAATTTTTTTTTCTAGAGGTGCCGGAGGGATGTGACGTCCGAAACGTTACAGCCTCCTTGTTTAGGTAAACTCTTTGCTTTTGCAATGCCTACGATTGGCAGTTATATTAAAAAGATAATGTCATGATTTTAAGATTTGAAATGAGGAATCGTCTGTCTTTTGATAGAAGGTTCCATTCAAGATTAGATCTTCAGGCACCAAGAATTTCCTCTCGTATTTAGATAAAATACTTTTATATTAGCCTGAATGATAAAACAAAATAAATAATTTATCTCTATCATCTTCTTTCAATTAACGTCTACGCTCCCAGGTTCTATCCCTTCTGGGTAGAACTCTATAGTACTATGGAGCACATGGATCGTATAAAAGCTTGAAGAGCATGCAAAGTAATCTAAGATTATTCGGCCATTGATAGGCAATCAGTGAAGTTGTTTTCTAAAGGGAGATATGTGGTTGTATTTACGTAACTCAAAAATGAAGCGAATACCGCTGTTGAGCAAACGATCCAATTTGATAAGAAGGTTTTGAGTGATGTCAGAATAGCAGATGTCGGCGTAGTCGAGAATAGGGAGAATAAGAGACTGGACGAGTGCGACTTTGGTACAGGAAGGGAGAAAGTGATTTAAACAAAACAGTGCTCGAACTTCTTGAACATGAACTTCCCAGCTGAGAGTAGTGTCGATAAATAAGCCTAGATTCCTAACACTGGGAAGATACTGGATAACGTTACCATTATAAATTACCGCATTCAAGTTACTCAGATCAAGCGTAGCTAATTGACGAGAACTACCTAAAATAATAGCCTGGAATTTCGATGGGTTTACAAAGATACCATAACACTTGGACCAATCGGAAATTCTTTGCAGGTCTTGGTTGAAGCGTATGATAGCAGCGTCTAAGTTATGCTTATCAGCTTGAACGTAGAGTTGGCGATCGTCGGCATACAGATGGTAAGAGGATTGAATTAGAGTAGTGAGGAAATTAAGAAAAAGTGAAAAAAGAAGAGGAGAAAGAACACCAGCAGTAATATCAGCCCAGCTTGAAAAAGTCTGGTCAACTCGAACAGCCTGCTGGCGTCCACGAAGATACGAAGAGAACCAGGTCCTCGCCGAAGAAGAGGCTCCCATATGAGTAAGGATTGCAAGGACTACCTTCTCCTCTCCACTACATAGTTGACCATGTTAAATGCGTTAAAAAAATCGATCAAGACCATTACTGTCAACTGCGACTTCTCCATGCCACTCCGAACGTCGTCCAGAACATTAAGGAGAGCAGTTGTTTTACTGTGACCGGGTCGAAACCCAAATTGTAGAGGACTAAACATCTTATGGCGAAAGATAAAAGAACACAGTTAGTTATGTACAGCAGTTTCTAAAATCTTAGAGAGAAAAGGTAATAATGATATGGGCCTGTAGTGATTTAGAGAGGATGGTGAGGAATGAAGGTATTTTTAGGAATGGGGATAGTAAGAGAATGTCGCCAGATAGAAGGAAGGTACTTGAAGTAAGAGAAAAATTTAAAATAATTAAATGAATAATACTGATTTCTTTAAAATTTTCTCTAAAAGAATATGTTGCCTTCAAGTTGTATGTTGTTATATGGAATGCGAAAGCTGCTGGATTTCCGGATCTGCGAGCCTTAAATAGCGAGATGCATGTTTCATATAGGAAACGTGCTTAAGTAATACCTACGTTTAGTTTTTTAAATCTCAAAATGCTGAGCATAGGCCTCCCCTAAGGATCTCCACACCGACCGATCCTACGAAACACCATTCCATCGGCTTTGCGTAACCTTAGATCGTCCCTCCACCTAGTAGGGGCCTGCCCACTGAGCGTCATCCGGTGTATGGTCGCCGTTTGAGAACCTTTCTCCCTTTATTACGGCCATCGGTTCACGTAGCAAGGGGAACCGACATCTACAGCAGTGCAATCCTTCGAGCGATATCGGATACTTTAATACTCCTACGGATTTCCTTATTTTTGATTCTATCACGTAGAGGATTACCGAGCATTGCTCTCTCCATTGCTCGCCGTGTGACTCTTGTTATGAGACCCACAGAATAAAAAACAAATATTTAACTTAAGATTTTCGTAAACAAAAAGATATACTCGATACTAATCTAATACTTTTCAAAGCCCAACCAGGCTCCTCGCGAGTAATCTTATCTCTTTTTATATCATTAATTAAGGTATGCATTATTGATAATGATAAGATGATAGCTAGTACACTGGACGGCAAATAAACCGGTCACCTTGGAACTCTGATTTGATTTTATCAAAAAGTATAAACTTAAAACTAACAAAGCTATACCTACAGAAAGTGCGTTTGCTGATGATTCAAATAAATATAAAACTATTGAGATTTATCAGTTTATAAAGTTTTTAATAAGAATTTTACAAAAAAAGAGTTGTGTTTATCGGTAGTAAAAATCATAGCAAAAATACACACGTCTGAGTAAACGATGGACAAAAACTAAAAAAAATGATAAGAACTAGGTAGGTTCTTTTTTCAAAAGAACGATAATAGCAACTTTATTAAAAAAAATCAAATCGTTACTATAATGTTCCTTGCTTGATTAGAAAGTAAGCTCACAGTACTTTAGAATATTTTTTCCCATTTTAATCATCACGAAACGCACTTCCAGTAGATAGCTATGTTATTTTTTAAGTTTCATATGGTAAATTTGTTATTTTTTAAGTTTTATATTTTTTGAGAAAATCGTAAATATTTTTGAGGTATCGGGTGACCCGGTTAATTTGCTGTCGAGTGTTTGTTAATAAGAATTTGTTATCAAAAAAATAAAGCCGATATCATTTCACTACGTCGACATATTAATTAAAGTCGTCTGGTTATGTGATAGGTGTAGATATTAATAAAATGGTGAGTAGACGTTTGCATTATTTTGACAGGAAATGAGACTGGGTGAAAGTGATCCAAAAACCAATACCAATACCGTTGTGGTATTCATGTAGGGTTTTCTGGAAACTGCCGGGTATGCGCCTTTGTATTTAAGTGTATTTGAGATACCCCATACATATAAATGCAACAACGGTGTTGATATGGGTTCTTGGACAAACACCCATGTAAACTTGCACAGTCTCCTTTAAATTTGGAAATAAACTGACCCTGTGCGAGTCGGCTTCGCATATGAAGGATTCTTTACCAATGTGGATGATCACGGAATTCTATTACGAAGCCTCCCTATCTGTCCGTCTGTAAATAAGCTTTAACAAAAAACAATATTCCCAAATTTAATTAAATAGGCCCTCAAAGGACGGTGTTAAATTCTGTAAGTTTACAAAAAAAGTATTGTAATTTAACTTAATTTATATAGCTCATTAGTTAATAAATCAATGATTAAAGTGTGAGCCATGTTTTGGATGGCGGAAAGTTCAATTTCTTTTTTTTCGGATATTATGTTATGAGTCTTAATTATCCCTTTTTTAATGAATCAATATTATTAAAACTAACGACCAAATGTAATTGCGCCTTAAGTAGTAGAAATTTAACCTGTGTTCATGAGATATTAAAGCTCATTGGCAGACGGGCTTAGTAATGGAATTACGTGATCATCCCTTAGTAAACGGACCTCTTAAATTCCATAAATACATATAGCACGGAATAGTTGTATTTAATATATATTATATCCATGTATAGAATTTTTTTAGCAAGTTAGAAATTTATAATAAACTGATTGGCAGTTAAAATTGTCTCGATATAGTTGTTTCTATTATTCTCTTTCGTTTGTAATCTTTTCGTTATTACTGACTTATCACGGAAATAATAGACTTCCAATATCTAAAAGACATGTACAGTTCTATGTTGCCATTTAAGTCTCCTCTCTGCTTTTCATAATTCGTAGTCATATTTATGTAAGTTAGTTATCATGGTTTTTGGACCACTTTCGCCCAGTCTCATTTCTTGACAAAACGGTGCAATCGTATCAAGATCGAATGCAACTATTCAAATTCGATATTGGGTCGTGCTAATAATCTAGTATATTTCTCAATAAGAGGGAAAGTTTTTATCACCTCGAAAGTCGAGCTCATATATTTCTCCTTTGTATTATAGTATTTCTTCCAGGTGCACTCACAGATATCAATAATATTCAGTCTTTTAAGCATTACATTTTCTTAGAGAAAGTGACAGCATTTACTTTAATTAAACTTAAAAGTTAATTGACTCGAAAATTAAATATCAGTTTTGTAAGCATTTACTTGTATTAAGGTCCATTTTATAGTAGTGCGTGAAAATCTGATAGTGAAAACGAAATCAGTTGCCATAAGTACAGTATATAAAGCAACCAAAAGTTAATTTTCATGTTCCTTAAAAATGTTTTAAGTATGTCTTAATAACCACTCCGCCACATAATAAATTGTTGACCGATTTCAAAAAAGAAGGAGGTTCGCAATCAAGATTTATATTTTTTCAGATACTGTTTCTGCTACTGTGCGCTCTGACGGGCACATGGGCGGACCTAGTAGAACCCCCTCTGCGCTGGGATATGCCTCCCCCAGAAGGTACTGACGGAGCTACCACCAGAAACGTGTGGGTGAGCTTTGCCACGATGCCTGTGGACCATTTTGACCCGCTCAACACGGATACCTGGCAAATGGTAAGTTGCTGGTCTAATAAAATATATAGATTTTTAATAGAGGTAGGGCAAAGCGGATTTACCGGTATTGGAGCGCCTGTCTGGGGAAGTAACCTCCACCTACAGAAAACCACAGTAAAATACTTTTTGGTGGTGTAGGCTACAGGCTATGGTAGCCGCTTACCATTAGCTGGGCCAAACGCTTGTTTGCCAACCTTTGGACATAAGTGTCGCCGCACACGGGCCACCGACCACAACCACAAAACTCCGCCACCGGCATATTTCTTGTAGTTTTCATACATTTTATATGGACTCGCCACCACGGTACGCCCATGGCCGCCAACAAGTCGTCGTTGCTCGCTTCTTGTAGCCCGCACCGGCCACATAATGCGCCGATATAAAACGCCGCCACACGTCACTTGCGCGGTTCCCTTTAGAGCCGCTTCTAGCTTCCCGTGGCGCATGGCGGCGCGTTTGCGGCTGTGGCGTGTGGCCCGTATGCGGCGACTCTAAAAAAAATATAGATTTTTTTGCATACAATACATCGGTTACTCGCAAAAACAAGGTGCATGGTAGCAATCCCATTAATAACATAAATTACTTTTATATTTGCACACCAACTCAAAAACTCGCAACTCAATATTTTTAGTTTAGGGTTTTATACTTAAGCACTTAGGAATGTCGAAAAATTACCCCATCGGCATTCCATTTCCACTTTGGATATCAGGGCTCCATCGTTGTGCACGATGATTCTGAAATTGTTGAGACTAATAGTGACAGATTGCCATTGTTAGCCTAGCTATCGCTTAAAATACTTAGTTTTCAAAAAATATCTGTGCTTTGATAGGCTTATTTATACTACCAGGCACTGGTAAGCTGGCAGCTGGCACAAACTTCGCATGTCTCTAGCTCCCTTCCCAGTACCATAATCATCAGCATATTAATCCACTGCTGGGGCACCGGCCTTTCATATGGAAGGAATAAAGAGAAAGGGTCATGACTCACCATGCAGGCCCTTTTTTTTTTTAATACGCAGGTAAAAAATCTATTTACAGACGACGGCGCCTTTAAGAGGCACACCGCCGAACGGACCTCATACCTGGCTCCCGGAAGTCTTACGAACCCCCCAGTGGCTGCCCACCAAGGACCTCGCAACTCTTACGGGCGCTTTACAGTATAATATCCGCTAAAAAGTCCTGCGAATACCCTCTAAGCTGCTTAGCACGGAGCTGCGGGATCCCCGTTTAGGGATTCTTCCGCGTCTCCGCACCTAGCAGCCTCCCGGTCTAGCCGGGGCTCCACGGCAGGGGTCTCCCGGGGTATCACGGGGACCCCGCAGACGTGCGCGGGTAGGCCCGCGCGTGGGGGTTGAGTACGCGGCCTAGTGCCCACCGTACCGCCCCCCGTCCGCTGCGGAGGGCTACTTAAGCGTGCCCGTGTAGCTCCCTCCACCGCCCCCCTCTTTGTAGGACAGAACTACAAGGGGGGGCTGCCGTCACGGGGTCCGTCGGTGGCCGGCATAGCCAGCGCCATGCCGGTCAGCGAGGGACCCCCCGGTAGGGTCATGGGACGGGTGCAGCCAGGGCGCGCCGCCGTCCTCTCCTACCCGTCCTCCTTTGGCGAGAGGGAGCGGCCAGAGGATCATCCTCCCGCTCCCTCTCAGCCGCCTCCTTCTGCGAGATAACGTTCTCGCAGAAGGAGGCGACCGCCTCCCACGCCCTGTCGCTGCGGAGCATGGCCTCTACCATGCTCGGCAGCGAGAGGGCTCCGCATCCCAGCGCCGCTATGAGCTCCAATGGCACTCCAATAAGGTGTGCTCGGCCGTGTCGTCCGGGGCGCCGCAATGATGACATTGCGGCGTCTCCTCCCGACGTGCGACACGGTGCAGATAGTGACCGAAGCATCCATGCCCGGTCAAGATCTGCACCATGCGGAACGTGAGGCTGCCGCGCCGGCGACCCAACCATTCCTCCAACACCGGACGAATGACTTCTATTGTCCGGTGGCCGGCGCTAACATGGGCGAGTGCCTCATCCCATCGCCGCAGAGCTTCGCTCTCGGCGATGGAACGAACTTGCCGCAACTCTGCTGGGGCAAGTCTTTCACCCCGCACCCTGGCTTCGACCCGACCCCGATGCATTTCTGCCAGAACCTGGGCATCGAGGTCCCACGGCGTCACTCAGCGAACGTCGCAAGAGGGCCCTCGTGCGGGGTTTGAGGCACTCAGCCCAAACCGGAGCTCCGTAAAGTGCCATCGACTGTATCACCCCGTGATACAGTCGACGGCACCCAGCACCTGGTCCCCCCACATTCGGGAGGACCCTGCCGAGTGCGGCTGCAGCGGCACACAGCCGTGGAGTGAGGAGCTTAAAATGCTCCTCAAAACTCCATCGGGCATCCAATACCACCATGCAGGCCCTGTGCAGATTGCTATGTACTAAGCAACGGATAAATAGCTTGACGTGCCTTCCGAAGAAAGGAGGAGCTCGAGATAATAAGTTTTCGGTCACCCATTCAGCGACTGGCCTTTGCGAAAGTTGCTTAACTGTCGCGAGCGCAGACTGCACGCGTTAACCACCTGCGCCATTCAGTTCCATATATATACACCGGTAATCTAGGAATTACAATCTTAGTACATTATTGTATTATTATTCATTAGCCAGAATAAATATGCCATATGCCAGAATAACAGCGCTGGTACGACACAATGTCGCATCAACTAATGCTTAGGCTGAGATTTTTGAATATGTAACTTTAAATGTGTAAATGAGGCTCAATAAAATTTATTCTATCCTATTCTATTATATTTTATTCGTAGCGTTTCATGTACAACGAGGAATTTTTCGGTGGCGACGGTTCCCCTATATTCATACTCGTAGGTGGAGAATGGGACATTGCGCCGGGCTCGCTGCGAGGGGGCAACATGTATCATATGGCGCAGGAGAATCATGGCTATCAGATCTACACGGAGCACCGCTACTACGGCCAAAGTCTGCCTTATCAGTAAGTAACGAAAGAAATAAAGATAATTTTTTCATTTGTGGCAAAGTGACGGTTCGTCTATAGTCATATTTGTGGGTGGAGAACGATACAGCGCGCCGGGCCGGCTGCACGTGAGCAACATGTATCAGATCGCGCGCGAGAACCATGGCTATCAGATCTACACGGACCACCACCAGTACGGTCAGAGTAGAGAGAGAGTGAGTAAAGAAAAAAAGAAAGATAAAATTTGTATATGAGACAAAGGCACGGTTCGTCTATGTTCATAGTTGTGGGTGGAGAATGAAACATCGCACCGTGCTGGCTGAGTGCGGGCAACATGTATCAGATTTCACGCCAGAGCTACGGCTATTACTAGTAGATCTACACGGAGCATCGCTACTACAGCCAAAGTCTGCTTTAGCAGTGAGTATAGAAAGAAAGAAAGAAAAATTTTGCATTTGAGGAAGGGCGCGGTTTGTCCATGTTCATATTTGTGGGTGGAAAATGAAACGTCGAGCCGGGCTGACAGTACGGATGCAACATGCATCAGATGGCGCGCGAGAACCACAGAGCACGACTACTAAGGCCAGGGTCGGCCTTATAAGTATAGAATGGAAAAAAGAAAAAAAAATTTTAGACCAACATGACAAATAACTAAGTAGTTAGTACTATTACTATAAATAGGAGTATTAACCGCAACTTGGCACCAGGTACCTATTTTACGTGGGGACGATAAATAACTACAACAAAAATTATATAAGGATATCAGATCTACACGGAACATCCATCGCTACTATGGACAGTCTGCCTTGTAAGTGGGTAGCTAGAGCTTATTACCAAATGCATAAATCTAGACAAATCTCTTTCTTTAAATGCGTTTGTAGTTTTAGCGCAATTGCGAATTGAACTACAAACTTAACGGCGTATTTGTGATGCTTTCATTATAATTACTGTAATCAACGTTGTGAAGCTAGCAACGAGTGCGTAACTATGCTAAGATTTTAGTTCAGTGACATCACCCTACATTTCTTATCGCCGCAGCCGTAATTAAGTTTGAATCGCACTATTTATTTATTTTGGTTACATGGAAGACCAACAGCTTATCTTTATATACTAGAAATGAATAGTAGCGACAAAGAGCCAATTACAGGTCCTCACCAAGGGCGGATCCAGCTTTGGCGTCAGGGGGGGTCATATAGCCAGCTTTGACGCCAGGGGGGGGGGTCATATAGTCGTGGTATATTAAATATTGAAAGTACTTAAATAAAATCCCCCTGGGTTTGGTCCATCTGTACTCAGCCCAGGGGGGGGGTCATGACCCCCATGACGCCCCCCCCTGGATCCGCCCTTGGTCCTCACATCTAGATATAACTTAAAATTACAAAGAAACTATTTGCAGTGTCCAATGTAAAGAAAAATCTCTTAAATATAGTTATATGTATAAATGAGGTCCGTATGATAAACTAGCTGTTGCCCGCGACTTCGTACGCGTGGAATTAGTCATTTTAAGTAGCCTATTGTTTATCCAATCTGATTTTTCTCAGTCTGTTTACGGTTTGTATTTGAGTCAAGTTTTAAGTCTCTTAGTTTACCCAAGGAATAAGATTTTTCATACAACCTTTCATTAAAACCCCTATTTGAAACCTTTCGGGGGGGGGGGGGGGGGTTCCTTTTTTAGTGCACCCTTATCGTGTACTGTCATACTTTCAATAAAATTTTCAATTTCTTTCAATAAATAAGAGCGACAGGCGGCCAGCAAGCTCCGCCTCTTCGTCTCGCCCGCCGCCGCGCCGCCAGCGCCATCGTCTTGTTTTGCTTGCATCAAGCGCGCGTGGATTTCCTTAGCAGAGTTATTTTAGAAATGTATTTATTATACTCTTCAAAGATCTTATACTTACAATCATCAACAAATATAATTCGAAAAAGATTATTACAGAATTTTATGTTGATAAAAAACTCTATGGCCTATTACTCATTAATAGGTACCAACTCTTAACATCTTACACACGTGATAACTTTTAAACGAAATATCCGATTGAGATGACACAAAAAGTATTTTACTTCTACATAAATACTCTTGATAACATAATGCTTAATTTCGATAAAGATTAATATTACGATACATATTCAACTTAGTTTTTTTTTCTTCGGACGATTTAATAATTATTTTGCACATAAAATCGGTTATTGTGATTAAACCATGATAGTTAGATATATGTTCTCGGGGACTTTTTTGTTGGTCTTAATGGGATCTACAAACCCGTAGTACATCATTTTGTTCTTTTGTCAATAGTTTTTGCAGCGCACGCAAAAATAGGTTTTCGATTTTACACCTTGTGTTACAAAATAGCAATTTTATTACGGATCCCTAATTTTGAAAAAAAAATATAGCCTATAGCCTTCCTCGATAAATGGACTACCCAACACTGAAAGAATCATTCAAATCGGACCAGTAGTTCCAGAGATTAGCGCATTCAAACAAACAAACAAACTCTGCAGCTTTATAATATTAGTATAGATAACAGAATAACAAATTACGCACATGTTAATTACTAACACCATGAATTTAAAGTCTGGAATAAATGTTTGTTATTATTATTATATTAATTATAATCTCCAAGAGAGAAACGAGCAATGATACGTCTAATCGACGCTTCGCTAGTGTTAAAAAGATTTTACCTGTTTTTATAGTGAGTTCAAGCTGTTACTCGCTCGACAAAGAAAAGCGTTCTGCCGATAATTTGTAGAAGTAGGGGGGATAGTTAAAACAGGATTGATCCTAAGGGGTTTGGGGGGAACTCCAAACAAGATCTTTGATAGGAGTTCCGGGCAGTTAACAGCTCCAGTCTCTTAACAGATCCTACTGAGGAAAACTAAATCCGCAATTTCGCGACGCATCTCTAAAGTAGTACAGTAAATCTGTAGGTTGAGTGGTGAAAAAAAAAACCTAAAGGGTAAGTCTTGTTTTTTTTGTTGCCAAATGACGTCAGTAAGCCACCTTGGCGATTTGTATGTTCAACTCGTAGGCGTTTTTTGAAAAACTCAAAAAACCGTCAAAAAATTTTTGAAACGCATTTTTCTTGTTTTGTATGCATTATAGAAACTTTTTTTTCGACCGGCATTTAAAGTTTTCAATTATGGTCGAAAAAAAGTTTCTAAAATGCATACAAAACAAGAAAAATGTGTTTCAAAAAATGTTTGACGGTTTTTTTGAGTTTTTCAAAAAACGCCTACGAGTTGAACATGCCCATCGCCAAGGTGGCTTACTGACGTCATTTGGCAACAGAAAAAACAAGACTTACCCTTTAGGTTTTTTTTCACTGAAACGATATTTTTTTCGACAGATTGACTGTACTAAAGGGAGAAGATGATGCTTTTTGCAGAGTTCCCCGTACCGACCTGAATGATAACGTTCCTTTGTAGGAAATTTTCGTTTGTCGTTCTATACAAGACAATTTACTCTTCTAGAAGACTTGAAGTTGATTGACTAGTGACTACACTAAATAAGTTTTCCGCGGGAGCTACTTATAATAAATATTAAATTAACGGTGGAAACGGGACTAGATTAAAAAAGTATTCACAGGAGCTATTAATAATATACCCAAGGGCGTCGCCAGCTTATGACTAAAGGGGGGGGGGGGGGGGGGGGGGGGGGGGGGGGGGGGGGGGGGGGGGGGCAATGGGGCAATATAATAGGTAAGGAAGTCAATTGCTCGCTCTTTGGTCGCTTTGCGGCTAGCTACATAGCTACATTTGATCTTGGCGACGACGCCCTTGAATATACTTATTAAGTACCTAGTTAAATATATTAACGGTCGAAACGGGATCGCACTTTAATAATGTCAAAATGTCATCCAAAAGTGCATGGCTACAGTCTACGTAACTTTTCAATCACATATGTTTTCTTTGATTCTTTTAGAGAGTTCACAACAGAAAACTTGCGCTTTCTAAACGTGGACCAGGCGCTAGCTGATCTCGCGTACTTCATCCGAGATGTTTTGAGGACGCAAGAACGTTTCGCCAACAGCAAGATTATTCTGTACGGAGGCTCTTACGCAGCTAATATGGTGCTGTGGTTCAAACAACGCTACCCTCATCTGGTGGATGGCGTCGTGGCTTCCAGTGGACCCATTAAGGCAAAAGTAGATTTCACTGGTAAGAACTATGTTGTTATAATGCCCCTAATAAATATATATTTAGTTCTGAAGCACACCACCCGTTAAATGAAACACGTTCTGTAGGTGTTTAAATGCGTTTTTAATTCTTTTATGCAGTAATCTGACGATATTTGACGTTTCGTCGTGAGAAATGTATTAAAAACGCATTTATACCTGTTCAAAACGTATTTTAGTCACTAATAAATATCCTATTCGAAACTAACATGCCAGATAAAGCTGCAATTATTCTTTAAGATAGTGTTAAATAAGAGATAGCTTTCTGAAATTTTGTTAATAAAAGTTCGAACATTTAAGTCACATAGAAGTCAATGAAATTGACGAGCATTAAGCTTATCAAAGTGTCTGTATCAACTTTAACCAACTTTAAAATTAATTGACTAGGGGGCAATTTTTCGTGATCCCAAGATCTCATTTAATGCTAAAGAAATGTGTTGACATTGTTAATCTCTTTCCCGGTAACAATATGCAAGGGATCATAAAAAGAGATAAACAAACTAAAAAATTGGGCTACTCTGAGAATTTTATTAAATAATACTTTTCATGTAGCACGATAATAGATTTAACATGTCTTTCCATTTTCTTTGAGCAAGGAAATGTGTTTGTATTAACTTGCTGCTGATAAGCATGTAACGTAACAAGTTTATATTACAGGATATTTGGAGGTTGTTCACGAAGCATTCCATTTGGAGGGAGGTGACGAATGTATTGCCACCATAAAACAAGGTATAGATGATACGGTTGTGGCAATGCAAACGGAAGAAGGTAGACGATTACTAGAGAGAAATTATAGGTAAGAAATATTCAGACGACGGAAAGGGTTAGTTTTCCACTTTGGTAGGGTAGGTTTAACCTATTTCTCTTGCCCCGTGGAGCCTTTTTTCTTTTTACTGCAGGAACAAAACACATGGAAGTATTATTAGACATGGTGTAGAGCAAAAGAAACGCTCAATCGGTCGAAGCGAAGATGCTCCGCAAAATTTAGCATTGCAAGTCCCTTTGCTATTTAGACATTGAGTAGTTTTAATTTTTGGTATTTAATTGTTGCTTTTATTTAATCAATAAACATTGACGTACCTTTAATTATAAAATGTAACCTTACCCCTATTTAAAAAGCGAATTTGACTGGGTTAATTTAAAGCTTTTTTTATAGTTCATTATTATTTTTTAATCCGAAACAATTTGTTTGTTTGTAAGTAGTTTAATAGTTTGTTTTGTTATTAATTTTAATTTTAACCTTTTTTAGATTGTGTGGTCCTCTCAATTATGATTTTGACTACGAAAAAGCTTACTTTGCCGGTTTGATAACATGGAGCTTCTCCAACTCGGTGCAAACCGCTAGGCCTGGCACACTACTCACCATCTGCAATAATTTCAGAAACAACGCATACGGTTGGTAACTACTTAAAAACAATAAGATCTAAATTATAGGTAACTTAACTATTACTTACTATAAAAAATACTGTAAAAAAAAGTTAGGTACTAATCAGAAAGAAAAAAAATATCACATTTTTTAGGTTCCACTCCCAAGGCGACATCGGATAATTATTACTATTGATCAGCGCGGTTCCGATACAAAAACGCGTGGTTCCACATCGGATCTGCGCGGTTCCGATACAAATACACGCGGTTCCACATCGGATCCGCGCGTGAAAGTTTTACAGAATAGCACTGCAGAACAGTTACTTAGCTTGCAACAATGCCGAAATACCGAAAACTCGCTAAAAAATGATACATGGTAGCACTGTTGTTCAGTTACTCCGTGATCATGGCGCTTGCAACAGTGCCGAAATATCGAAAACTCTCTCAAAACAAGGTTCATGGTAACACTCCCGTAAATAACTTATATTACTATAATGTACCACTCTTGAATATTCTTCTTTACTATTCTGGAATCACCAACTTCGGTAAATCAACAGTGCTGTTCTGTAAGAACAAACTCACTTTTACACCGCGGAATCTCTGATTATTTGTAAATAATTAAAGCGCGTAATTGGCTGATGTGATTTGAAATTTATTTAAAATTCGTTATCCAATTTTAAATACTTTTTGAACCGCGGATTCTGAGTTGAAATGTATTTTAATATTTTATAGAATAGTCATTTTATTGTTATTTGTTGTGAGCCCCCATTTCCGCACGTAAACTCCGTACTTGGTTGGTCCATTGTGCGTGCAGGGTATGTTGGCCTAGCTAGCTCAGCCAGCCCAGCTTCTTCTAGAAGCGCAGTAGTCTCCTGGGACTCTCACAGGCTTCTAGGAGCTTCCTCGGCTTACTGAGGATTGATGCCCGGTGTTCTGCCACGCTCATGCATTCCAGGATCACATGAGCGGCCGTTTCACCTGCTTTCAGATATCCTCTGCATAGAGAGCTATCTGTAACACGTATGGTTAGTAAATGCTACTACTGTAACAGTGCCCAGCATTACTCGGAGACTACTTCGGTTAAGATTATATAGTTTTCTAGTTAGTCTGGGGTTTACGCTAGGAAAAATATCTTTAGATTACCTGCAGCCCTCGGTACTGGCCCAACGGGTGCCATAAGGCTCTGTATAGTTCGTTGACGCACCCATGTACGAATTTGATTGAAGGGTAATGGTAGAAGTGGCTCAAGGCCTTCCACTCTTTGTGATGATCCCCTTCTAGCTAGTTCGTCGGCTGCATCATTACTTACAAAACTACTATATTCCTTGATCCATTGGAGGGTAACCTTGTTATCCGTTGCTATGCACTCCAATGCTAGGCGACATTCGTATACTAGCCTAAGTTGCTGTTACTATCTAGGGTTGTTAGGACAGTCATACTATAAGATAATATACGTATCTGGTAGTTTTGACTTTCCTGTTAATAACTGCGGTGGCGGTCTGAGTAATGGCTATGCATTCGCATTGGAATATTGAGCTGTGATTACCCAGTGCTGTTGATTTATGGATGTTAAGGTCCAGTGAGAAAACTCCTGCGCCTGATCCGGATCCTAGTATTTTGATATTTCCTATAAATTGTAAGAGTAATCGGGATTTTATCACAACGGGCTGTTACAAGAGGTTGGTTTTGTATAGTCCTTTCCAAAATTTTGGAGTGAGATCCCTGGTTTCCCGTTCACAAGCCCAGATGATACATGATACATTCTTGGCGCTGCCATAGTTGCTTCCTGTTGCATAAACAGATCGAGTGGCGGGAGGTCAAGCGCTATTTCTAGGGCGTTTGTGAGCGTGGACTTCATGCAGCCTATTATAGCAGAACATGCTAGTCTTTGAAAACGCTGCAGTTTATTAATTATGGTGTTGAGTTCGGTTCTAGGCCATCAAACTATTGCACCGAAGATGATGAGTGGTCTGATTATGGTTGTTTAAAGCCATTTTGTGATTTTTGGTGCAAGACCCCAGGTTTTACCAAGTAGTCTTTTGCATTGTCATAACGTGATACAGGCTTTGTTTATCTCTTGGTCTATGGTAATCATGGAGCACCCCCACTAGAGTCCGCATACAAGGCAAGCGCTTACGCCAAGCTTAAGTAGTATTTTACTTTAAGCGTGAGGCACGCCCACAGACGTCGCGATACATCATTTCATTTGGTAACCGAGCGTCGGTCGAACTGCTTCTCTCGTTTTCGTGTTAAAAAACTGTAAAAAATGCCTTCATATGCAATTCAATTGTGTGGAAAGTAGAGTACAACTTCCAGTCTTCAAAAATATAGTATTACTTTTCACCGGTAAGTTTAAATACATTACAAAAAGACAAAAATACTCTTATATTAAATTGCTGTTAATTGTATTTATTTTTTGGTGAACGCGTTGATGTCTTTGTACATTGTCCCTTTCTCGCATGCGCTACATCATATATGCTATCCCGGTCTCACACCGGCACGTGTATTGCTAGTGACGCAGACGCAGCTCATGTCTCATCCCGTAAGTTTATCGATAAGTTTGTCAGCTATGGAAATGGAAAAAATAAATAAAAACTATTTATTTCATCGTATTCAGTAACAGATGTCATGAGTATACAACCAACAGTTTTTATTTGATTTCAAACATATCCTACTATAATTTGAAAACGCGAAAATTTGTATGGATATTTGTTAGTCTTTCACGCTAAAACGGCTAAACAGATTTGTATGAAATTAAATGCGCATAGTTTTCGACCTAGGTAAAAACATATAATTAAAGATATTAAATAGCCTAGATACACCATGAGCGCTCAAAATGTGTCCCAATCAAGAAGTGCTTGAGCTCCTCTCAAGTACTTCTTGGTTCACAGTCACGCGCGGACCGCTGAAAAGTCAAGATGCCGCCAAGCTAAAATAAATTAATAACTTAAATATATAAATCGAACTATTTGTGCTATTTGTGCACTTTCTAAAATCGTCGAAGGCATTATTTTATCTTTTAAAACAAGTAAAAAATATCTGCAATATTATTTGACAAATTGCAACTACAGCGAATTGTGTGAATGGAGCTAATTTAAAAGGCTCATTTTTGAGACGCGTATCCGTGGGGTCTCTTTTTGATATCTTCCCATTTTGACTTAATTTAAGATGAATTGTTATAATTGTCTGTACATAAGTACAGAAAATTATGTTATATTTTTGTATAAACAAAAATATAATGTATTTAAATATAAATAGTACATCTTCGTAAAAATGGGTTTTACTAAATTTCTTTATTGTCATAAGTACCAGAAAATAATAATTAAGGGGCCTTTATCTTCGGGTCGGTGCGAGTTTGTTTTGTTTTCGATTCTGTACCGAATCTGAACAGATTCTTTCCGAGTGCATATAATTAAGTGAGAGCTTTCCCACTAAGTGGTTCCCGTACAGATCTTTACCGAGCGGATACTTAGCTCGCTGTGCCGAGTGCTTCCGAATGCTACCGATTCATTCGACTCGCCTATGCTGTCACTCCTGCAAACAAAACGAAATGAATCCGTACTGACCCGATGAGTAAGGCGCTTTAAGTTTTAAAAATTATTTTATGATAATATCATCATATTATTGTCTATCTATATATTTGTCACTTGTTTTTTTTGTGTTGCTTATATATTATTTAGTTTGTAGTTACTGGTCGCCTCATGTAATTAGAACGCACCAAAGTACTAGGCCTCTATACTAAATTGTTTATCGATAGGAAATATCGACATTTTCTAAAATCGATCTTACCCTCATCACTTCGCTGCACTAAGTATATGATCTGACCTTGACGCGTCCAATCACAACGGGGCTGAACTCCCTGCACGCCGCCGACTTTGGCGATTTTGATTCCAAACAAAATTTGTGTGATGCGGACTCTAGTGGGGGTGCTCCGTGATGGTAATTAACTATGCCTAGATATTTGATCCCATTCGACATAGACAGTTCGGTGTTAAATAACTTGGGCAATTTCACAGCATCCAAGTTACGTTTCTTCTTGAACTTTTCTGTTTTGGTCGGATTCACCGATAGTTGGTGTTTAGTGCACCAGTTTTAGACTATCTTGAGAGCGATATTTATTAAGCTATACAGCACATTCTGGAGTGGACCGCTTATGAGGATCACTAGGTCGTTCGCATAGCCAACTGTGAGGTAGTTGCATTGATTGAGTTGGCAAATTAGTTCATCAACCACAATGTTCCACGGGAGAGGAGATAAAACGCCTCCCTGTGGGCAACCCCGTGCCACTACGGCTCTCTTCGTAGTGTACACAGTCACTTGTATTGCTCTGTATTTCAGCATGTTGTTGATCCATCCCGCAGTCGTGGGGTCAACACCAAGTCTCACAAGTGCTTGGCTGATGTTGGTAAAGTTAGTTTTATCAAAGACGCCTTCAATGTCAATGAAGATTCCCAGCGTTGATTGTCTTGGTGATAATCCACGTTCTATTTGCCTAACTAGGTTGTGTATGCGGATTTGGTAGATTTGCCCATGCTGTAGGCCTGTTGATTAGCTTGAAGTGGTACTCGCTTTAGAGCATCATCTCTCAAGTTTCTATCACACATTCTCTCCAGCACCTTTAGGAGGAATGATGTGAGGCTTATCGGTCTGAATTATTATTATTATTTCTAATTAGGTTGCGTGTAGTCACTTTTTCCTAGTTTGTGTATAAATATAACCTTTATTCCTCTCCACTTGCTGGGTATGTACCGATAAACAAGACTATCAGTGTAGATTCGCAGTAGACCCGGAAAGATGCCATCCAATCCAGCTGCTTTAAAGGGGAGGAAACTTTTGATAGCCCATGGTTAATGTGTTGATTTTGATGATTTTGCGTGCCAGTTGTCCATTCAGCTGATCCCGGAACCGCAGATATCTCATCTTCCCATTCTTGATTGTCTTTAGTGTTACAGCCTGGGAAGTGTGTTTGTATCAGCAGCTCACAGGTTTCAGCGTCGGTTTTTGTGAAGGTATTATCAGCCTTTTTGAGG